TTCAGGTTGATTTTTCTTATTTACATTAAAATCAGTGAGAAAAAAAACAGTTATTTTTGGATAACATCAAATAAAATGTCTGACATGTATTTATACCCCTAATACCTCCTTTAGTTTATCATTGAAGATAATGTTTTGTGTAGTTTTGGTTATATTCTCTCTTGAATTCTGGTTCCATGGAGAAGGACTGGTTTCGGAATTATCACTGATAGTTCAAGCTGAGAAGTATATACATTTTTTTACTTTTATGAAAAGTACATGAAAGTAAAAAATCGCATAACAAGCAGGAGATCCAGGTTCGAAACGAGCTTTGGACATATTTCGCGTCACGGTAAGGAAGGAGGCGTGAACTTCCTGATTAAATGCACTTCCGCGGTGCTCTGTGACAAGACCGATAGGACTTCTTGGGGCACCTAAAATTAAAAATTAAAAAAAAATTCTTTAGAAGGAAACGAGCTAAAAAGAAGTGACTAAAAAAGTAAAAAATCTAACAAATTAGTCAAAATTTACTTTTATCAAAACTTCGTATAACTGTTTATATTTTAAAAATATGAAAATTAATACAAATTCTTTTGAAGCAAAAACTATATTTTGACAAGTGAATTTGTCCCTTGGGCACTTTTAAATTTCTTTACGTAATGTGTAATTAAAAAATCATAGCAGGTTCTGATTATGTTGTAAAGTAACCCACCTCAAATTACCATAAACATTTCATATTGAAATTTTTTTTATATAATTGTTTTAGGCTACGGATTATTTAGCCATTACACACCGATTTTTTGGAAACTAATAAACGCATACAGCTTTCAAGCAAAAAGAAAGATATAATTTTTATCCAGGACCAGATTGATGATAGAAGAACTTGATTGTTGTTTTGAACAAGTCAGTGTGAGATTCAAATCAAATAAGAGCCAGAGACCTTTTTTTGCACAGGAACAGTTATTTGACTTCCTTGTTACTAGTTTAGTGGAAATATTAATGGTATTACTTTTTCTCTCAGCTCTGGTCTCAGAATCTCTGATAAAAGTATACAAGTGGGTGCAGCTGTTCTGAGATCTAACTTAAAATAAATGGTTAGGAACACTAGCAAACCAATTATTTTAAATTTTGATGGAGAATTCATTAAAGATTTTACAGGTACAACAGATGAGACAAAAGACTGTCTGTGTGTCCTTATAAAATGCAACATTGAGACCCATCTTCTTGGTGTTCCAGGCTTAGACTATGGAACATGAGAGGCACAATTTTATACCATTTAAAAGTCATTGTGTTATTTTCAATTAGTGAGCTTCTTCATGGGCTTTGCTTTAGTACTGCTTCAAACATTGATCGTCTCAAAATAGCATGCACAAGGTGGGCAAAATTTCATGGCCGAAAATTTCTTCTGTTAGCTTAAAGACCTCATGTAAGTGAAGTTCACATCAGGTCAAGAATTTAGTTAAGAACAACCACCAAACTTCAGTGGTAACTGGGTGGAAGAACAAGCTAGCTTAACACTGCAAACCTGGAAAATCCTCAAGGACAGTGATAAACTGAGAAACTGTGTGGTAAGTTGAATAAATTAAAGTTGAAAAAAGGCAACATTACCCGTTGTTATATCAATACTACTGTTTATATATATATATATATATATATATATATATATATATATATATATATATATATATATATATATATATATATATATATATATATATATATGTATATATATATATATATATATATATATATATATATATATATATATATATATATATATATATATATATATATATATATATATATATGAAAATATGACATCTGTACCACTCATTTGCAATACCCTGTCGTAAAATTCCAACATGACTGACAAAATGGATATCCCTAGAATTTTGTGCCTGCAGGGTCAGTGGTGTTAGAGCCAGTCCATTCAGTATGATGAGAATTAAAGTCTTCAATAACAAAAATATTGACAGAGGGATAAAGAGAGAGGGCATGGTCATTTCGATCAGAAATTACATCTAAAAGACTGCAATCTTAAGAACGAAGGAGAACGATGAAGAAAAAATAAACGAAGGAGAACGATGAAGAACAAATAAACAAGGTGAAGAGGTGTTAAATGGAAGCACATAAAAGAATGGTCAAGGAATATAAATTTAATTTCTTGACAAATAAGTAAATTGATGTTTAAGTATACGCCCACGCCAAGCATGTTACAAATAGAGGCTTTGAGAATTAAAGAATAGTACCCATCAATACTTAGATCTGAAGAAAGAATAGCCGAATTAAATTAGTCTCACAAGTAGCAAGCAAATCTGATGAATTTTGCAAGAGGTAGGATTCAACTAAAGAAAGTTTACTTCGCAGAACACGAATATTTGTGAAAGGTATGTTGAAATAGTTTGGTGGTGGCGATGGTTTTCCTCGATTCCTGCATCGGGTTCATATTAAAAAGTTAAAATGAAAGCTTATGAGATCTCTAGCGCTGAATTCTTTTAACAAAATAATGCTGATTAATTTGCGCTAATTGAGTTTGCCTAAATATATCTAAATAAAAAACTATATTTAATCTTGAGGTCACAAATTCAAAAAACGCAAACTAATGTGTAAACTCGATGTCAGTAAAAATTCTTTCTCCCTCAGGTTCGTTAATATTAGCTCTATCAACTTAACAAAATTCTCGCACACAATAAAAAGAAGCTATTCAAAGACGCAATTTAAAGTACCACTTAAACAAATAGTTACAGCACTTAAGTTTAATTTTTATTAAAGATTTCTTTTAAGATACCCGGTGCCGGGTACTGCAACAAATTAGCCGATTCCGGGTACCCGGTAAAACAGCCGATTTACCGGCACATCACTAACGCATACACACACACACACACACACACACATATATATATATATAAATATATATATATATATATATATATATATATATATATATATATATATATATATATATATATATATATATATATATATATATATATAATTATATATATATATTTATATATATATAAAAAACTTTTCATTAGATAAGGTCCACGATACTAATTTTTAAAACGGACCAAGTTTTAAATAATTTAATTGCATTAAATTACTTTTGTAACTAATTGCATTAAATTAATTACTAAAAAAAAGAAAGGAAATTAAGTGCATTAATTTAAAAACTGGAATAGTTCACTTATAAAATCTTATATATTTGGCCAGTTATAATATCTAAGTATTTTGCCTATAAAAAAATATAATATAAAATGACAGCGACTATGTAAACGGGACGGTTATAATACTCAATCTTATTTTTTCTCCGGCTATTTATTTTGAGTTTTTACGATCATATTGTTTATTACGCAATCTAGAGACTTTTTTTATTTTATTTTGAAACGTAAAGTTTTAATTTCCATTTTACGCAAAATGTTAAGTTTGATTTTGCCTAGAATGTATTACAAAAAACGACTTTGCATATAATTACAAATATTACCATATTATAACAGCGCCAATGCAAATTTAATAATTTATTTTTTTAACGGTGCTTGCTTTTATTTTAATTGTTTTAACTTTTTTAATTTAAATAAAAAGTTTTCAACCATTTTCATTCATTTTTTTTCTTTATATCATTTTTTCTATAACTTTAAGATATAAATAAAAAAAAACGCAACCGTCAAATAATTCTATTTCGTAAATTATTAAATATTATTAATATAAACAAATAAACTATAATACAAAATATAAAATTATAATGCATGCTGAAACAAAGTTGAGCATAATGACAAGCTTGATTAGATAGGAACCATATTTGTCATAATATATATGCAGTTTTTAAGGCGTTTTTCACAAAACGTGTAGCTGCCAATTGTTTTGAAGGCTAGCTAATTTTTTTTTACCAGTCTAAATATATAAACAAAAGCAAGTTATAAAAGGTTAATGATGAATGATCAATGAAAATAGTAACAAAATAATAATCAAAAAAGCATTTAAACGTTGTACCCTTTATCCCAAAATCTCAGTTATTTTGGGCGCCGTATATCTTAAATCAAGCTAGTAGAGGCACAGTTTATTAGTTGCGTTGAACTCTCTTGAATGCAACTAATATACTGTGCATCTACTAGCTTCGTTAGTCACTAAATTCTTTATTAAACTTTTTTATGAAAAGATTCTAGATTATAATTACAATCCGCAAAAAAATATTTTTTTTATTTAAAAATAAAATTTTAAATCCTCTAATGAATGTTCTGTATCTGCCAATGAGGTTAAAAAAGATTATTGATGCGCAAAGGAAGATTTTAAAAACTCTAAAAAAGATTCTGTGCCCTCAAAATAAGATTCTAATTTTAATGTTTGGCAAAAATTGTTTATTAGAGAAATAAACGACTTTTTTATTTTCGACTTTTTACTTAAGACTGAAAGGGAAACGAATGTCTGGTGATTTAAAATATTGCTTTTTATATATTCGTTAAAAAAACTATTTATGAGGTTTATGTAAAAGTTGTTTTTGTGTATATGTTGCATTGTTTGTATGTTTTTGAAGAGTGAACAATATTATTTAAACAAAAAATAATTTATTGGTGATAATTTTCTCTTTCAACAGAATGTCGAATATGCGTTTTTCAAATTTTTATGAATGTTTTCAATTTTTTTTTAAATCTTTAACAATCCTTATAAATATTTAAATACATTTATAAGTTTTGCATAAAAATTTTTTTTTTCTATTGACATATAAAAAATAATAATACATTTATCAATAGAGATTGCTTGAAACGAAGGAGAAGTTTGTCTAATACCTTTTAAGTTTATGGTATTTGTTTTTTATTGTCAAATGTTATGGTAGGTTTTTATTGAGAAAAATTTCAGGTAAGTCTGTTAACACTTATTTAAAAACTAAATGTCCGCAATTTATCTTATTTAATGTTATACCCTATTTTTTAAAAAATAAATTGGGAAGATTAGGTCTAATTGCCTCTGTTTTTACCACTGAGTTCTGTAGCTCTTAATGGCACATTTTTTGTATTTCTAAATAGTATGAATTTAGGTAACATTTTCATTTTACATTCTATATATAAAAAATTTTCTTGAGGCTCTCCAGGGACTCAAAAAAAACAACCAAAGTTGCCAAGTTAGTAAAAACTATAAAAATAATTTGTATGTATTTTTAGGCGTAAAATGTATTATTAGGTGCAAAGTTTATTTTTAAAAAATTTCTATTTATTTTGGCAACAAATTTAGCCATAAATTGAATACTATTTTAAACTGGTACTCTATGTTAGTTTGTATAATAAGCCAAAACAGTAGTCCACATTTTTAAAAGGTAAAGAAATTCCTTTAAAATTCAAAAAACTTTTTTTAAACTTTCTCAATATTATTACAAATTTTTAAAAGAAAAATCTTTTGAAAAAAACATTCTTTTCATAGTAAATACCATATGCCACGTTGCTCCGTGAAAATGTTGCCAATTTACCCTAAAAGTCATCTTTTCCAATAAGCAACCTATAAATCCTGAATAACAACAACAATTGTTTAATAAGCTGACTTGAAAAGTCAGTTTCTAAATCCCAATATCTTATGCATTTCAATATGCGCATGCATGAATACTCATTTTATTTTATTTATTTTATAAATCTTTATTTAAAATTGAATAGCATTACAATTAATGAATTGTACAATTTTGTCTGTCCTTTAATGTTAATAGTTTTCTAAGAATGTAGGGTAAGAAACATATCAATTATGCATTGAAAAGGCAGTAGAGCTCCCAATATTGCTTGGTAGGTAAAGGTCACTGACGCCATCACGAAGGATACGGAGATATTTTTGAATAAAAGATTTTTGGTAAGTAGTATTTTTTGCGGTGCTAAGAGCATACAGTAATCTATTAGGGTTTCTTAACTGTTTCGTTGTATACATGAATATATATAGATACATGTATATATGCATTAACGGTTGCATAGATACACGTATAAAAGCATTTTTGGTTAAGAAAAATGAATTGGTCAGTTTTGAAAATTTTTTTAACATATTAAAATATTTGCAGGGTTTCCTGTTATAACTTGCCTACTTATTTAATAAAATAAAAAAAATACTAATGCCTAAAAAAAATGTTGTAATTTTATTTTAACATCCATTTTTCAATAGAAGCCAAACTGTATATGAATAAATTGAAAAAAAAAAAGTGAAGCAATATGTAAAAAAATAGTTTCTTTTTTTGACTTCCGTTTCTCAATACAATCCAAACAACTGAAATTCTACCTGTAAATGAATTGAGAAAAAAAAATGAAAATGAAACGAATTAAGTAAAAAAACAACTTCATATTTTGACTTTCATTTCTTAATACATTCCAAACAGCTAAAACTCAGTCTGTGAATGAAATAACTTTAATTTTGCAAATGGGTAAATAAGTGCTATGACCAGCACTTACTTTGAATGGGGAAAGTAGTTTTATGCAATCTTAGTAACATGTAAGTTTATTTTTAGTGGCACGTTGATATACAGTTATCTGAAAACCTATTTAAGTATTATGTGTTATTTAAGTATAAGTAAGTTATTGAAATAAAGCAGGCAATCAGTAGCAAAAACTCCAGCACAAAATAATGTAAGTACTCAAAGAAAATCGAACTATAGTTATTCGTTTTTATAAAATAAAAATAAAACATTTATAATGCAAACACAATTCTTAACCATAAAAAGTTGGTGTGTGACATAAAATTTTCAATCTAACTAAATATTAGAATGTTACATATCATTGGTAAGAGCTTCAATTCAATATTTTAAATATGAAAGAATTATTAAAATTGAACAATTCCACAAAAAGTTATGACGTTTTAGGTACGAATTTTTTGATATGTGGATTTGTGAAGAAACTGTCGTCAAAATAAATTTTTACTAACTAAAACTAATGGAATTTTGTCAATTCTTATCTAAATGTTTATTACTTGGTATCAAAAGATAAGTGTAAGAATAACCTATAAACTTTGATTGGTCTTAAATCTGGCATTTTTGGGAGTTCTGAGAGGTCACTAAACCATTACACTTACTGCTAATAAATGGGAATTTTATAAATAAAAGAGAATTTTTAAAACAGAAATTGATAATTTTAGTATGCAAGAAGTTCTTATAATGGGTTTCTAGACCACTGCTTAATATGAAGAGTTAATCTATGCATGTTGGCATGCTGGGTCGGTGTGGCGGTGATGGTTTAATGCACCCTAATAATAAAACAATTCATTTTCATAAATAATTTAGTTTTTATTAAAAGAAGCAATAAAAAAAAACAATAATACTTTCCAACTTTACAAAATATTCTGGTTGCATCATCACAATCATCATTCTGGTTGCACACACATCAACTCGAGGGAAGAGGTGATCTTTCCACCCTCTAACCTGAAAAACATAATAAAACGAGATTTAAAATAAAATATTAAAAACGCAATTATAATAGATTTTTATACATTTTTAATAGGTTTTAATACACACATTTTACTTCATTACAAGATGCAACAGACTTTTCTTTTTTATGAGGTAAGTGACCTCCTCCGACCAAAAATAAATTCAAACATGTTTTTTATGACGTAAGTGACCTCCTCCAACCAAAAATAAATTCAAACATGTTTTTGAATGTTATATTAGTTGAATTGTCTTGGCAACAATAGTTAATGATTAAAATAATAAGTTTCAATAATGAAATTAAATAATAATCGTTAAATAAACTAATAAAAACGTAATCTAGAGGACAAATAAGATAACGTGTTTATTATTATTATTTTATTTTTTTGTAAGACTGAGCTTTCCTGTAGACATATGATATGTTTTACAATTTTCATTACCATTGTTTAGCTCATAACCTATTTCAGATGTAAAAATAGTATATTTAGAACATAAAGCATTGTAAATAGTACAACTAGAGGTAGATCGCAACGAAAGTGATACTTATTCCAGATGGTAGCCTGAAGTTAGCAGCTAAATATTTCTTAAAAACACCATAAAAAATGTTTTATTGTACATTTTTTTTAGACTCATTATAACTTAAAAATATACAACAAAATTAAACCACAAAAAGTTTTAAATGTTGTAAATTATTTTTGTCACGTGTTTTATTAAAAACATTGAACTTAAAAAAAATGTTAGTTTCAATAACACATAAAAAAAAAATTTAAGGTTAAAAAAAACTAAAAAGTTAATTTAAAAACTAGCTTTCACATAAAAACTAATAAGTATAAAGTAGTTTAATAAACTCGTACACAAACTTAGTGCTCGAACGTTAGCTGGGTATGTATATACCCACATTCGACAAACCTTGAGAACGTTCAAGCACATTCAAATAAAGTTCTGTAAGTGTTTTAGAAAATTGCGTATACACACTTAATAATTAACGTTTAAAAAACGTTGCCGCAGCGTTCATTTAAGTTCGTGTAACGTTCGATGCAAACGTTACATGAACCAACTATTGTGAACTCCAATTTACATTTCTTTAACGTTCAATACGAACGTTCAAATAACAAACAGCGAACATTTACTTATCGTTCACTGCAAACGTTCTTTTAATGGCTCTTGAACGTTCACCTCAAACACCCAATATCGAATGCGTTTAATCAACGTTTTTCTTTTTTTTTTAATATTTTGATCAAACGTTTAAATGTAGACGCACTTTCTGTTTAAACTTGCATTTTCTAGTTTTGTTTAGCATAATGCTTTTTTAAACTTACATAACCTTTATCTATTTAACAACTGTTAAATAAGAACTTGAGTAGAATTTTATTTGTCATCAAAAACAAAAATTTATATCATTATAACTAGTTCATTTATTATAACAAGTTATTAAAAAAGATATATATAAAAAAAATGAAAAAGATATATAAAAAGTTCATTTATTATAACTAGTTATTGCTTTAAAAGATACAAAAAACAATTTACATCAATAAGGTAAATCTGTTTACAAAACAACATCAACAACATAAAAAATAAATATGTGTTGTTTTAGTGAAAAAGTACATTATAAAATGTCAATTCTATATAAAAACAGTTTTATGCAAAAACTACTAAATAGACACCACAAAACCTTATACAAAGAGCAATAAACTAACATATTAATAGTTAATACTCTGGTATGAATCATAAAACGCCGCTTTACATAGTTGAAACAGGAAACTGTTTACACTAAATAATATATTCACTATATTTACAAGAATATCCAAAAAAATAAATTGTCTCTTTTGTCCTAAACATTATTTATTCAATTTTGTTCTATTTTGTTACTATTTTGTTCAAGACGACCTAATATTTGAAACAAACTTTCATTTTTCCAGATAAACATATTGCATGTCAGATTTGCAATCAATCTCTGAATGACAAACTGTTTTCACCAGACGCATCAGAATCTGAATCAGATTGAACAAAACTCTTTTTCTAAGTTGCACTAATTTGAAAACAACTGTTGCTACATCTACATCTACATCATTATTAGTACAACATGAAGTTATTTTTTTAAACAAATTCAATGTCGTTGACGCTTTATTTGTTGCTTTGTTGCTGTTGTCGCTAAAGATGTCACTTAGCAGTCATATACTTTGGTCTGTATATCTGACAACGCCTATTGTTCCTTTATTTTAACTATTTCTAAGTATGATAACATAACATTTTTTATCCAAAACAGAACTAAAGTGTTTTAACATAACGATGTATTTAACAAAACAAGTGTAATTCTTCATGTTAAGCATTTGCGTACCAATGTATAAACACGACTATTATTCATGTTTGTTTGACTAGTCGAGTCTGAAAAGTACAATTAATAAATTATTTGTGTTTGTCAGAGTCGACTAGTAGAATCTCACACGTACAACTAATAAATTATTTGTATTTGTCA